CAGACATTAGTTTGTTTATGCTTAGCGACTCTCAATGACGATATTTTAGATGTAAGTGGAGGGGAGGAGTGCGAGAAAGCCTAATGTTTGATGTTATTATCATTATTATAATTTGAACCATTATCAATATTTGCTCTTTTAGGTACTGGCTGTTGTCAATAATTAGTAGGGGATCCTTGTGTACTATAATTAGAGTTTTGTTGGGAATAATTACTGAGGGGACGAAGTTGTGTACTCAAAATTCAAGTTCGACTTAATGCAAATTGATATATATATATATTTCTCATTGTCTCTCGATCTCTCTTTTCTCGTTCTTTGACATGATAGGAGGGGAGCTTCACTGAAATTTGTGGCTGTTACGCACTATGTGCAATAGATGATCTATATAGTTACTAAATTATTTCTAATGATGATTTTCTTTAAATTTGCACCAATATTGATGCCTCTCCCTCTTCATCACCTACCATTCCAAAACTTTTTAAATTTTCCTTTGAGATAAGAAAGACTATCATTGATGATTTTCTTATTGTATTTTTCTTTCATGTATTTTGCCTTTGGTGACACTTCTTTCATTTTAACACTTTTTGCTGCCTTTTGCAATTTTTATTTGAAATTGAGTGAAAAATATTCTATTCAATCATTCAGGAAGTGGTTTTGGGTAGATTATACATGTACTATTTCTGCTGAGAATAAGAAAAATAGTAAGATAAGTCTGGTCCGTTAAAGAGCCAACAAGCTATTAGTAACATTGTGACGCTTAGAAAATGTTAAAGTAACCACAAAACAGAAAAAAAAAATAAATTTTCAGGCTGAATATTGTTTATCTCAATCAACTGAAAGGCTCAACCCTAACCTATAATTCAATTATTGCAACTCATTTTTTGCATCACTAAATGATAAAAATTTTTCTATAATAATATTTAATATTTTATACTTACATATATAACTTAAACTCATTATCATATCAATATTCTTGTTTATAATTTATGAATTATTATTATGCCAAATTTCTTTCCTCTAATTAAATTTCTAACTACAAAGCTTGAATATTTAAAACTCAAATCACTGATAGTTTTGTTTAGCCTACCATCCTTTCTGTGTCTGTTGTTGCTGACGCACATACCCGCGTTGCACCCCCGTGCACCGTCGATCTGACACGTGCTGACTCCTATCTTTGTCGCTTCGTGCTATCTACTGTCCTTACATCGTCGCTATTAGCCACCATCATTTGAATTTTACATAACAACCATTAATTTTACTTAATATAAGTTAAAACTTAATAATCCTACAACATTTATTATATATTATTCCAAACCATAGAAGCTATAGCCACAAATTTCCCCAAATTTTCTTTCACATTATTAATAACATATATAATACAAATTTGAAAGATAATTATAATAATCATTATCTATCTAAAGCCAAAACAACTAGCAAATTAAATACAACAAAGAACCCTTTATGATGTTTCAATATCAATTAAATAAACACTTGCAATAAGATATTAAGTGTAATATTTATAACTAATGGCACATGTATACATAGTCATTAAGATACACTACAAAGATACATTAACCCTAACTTAGTTTTTGGTCTTTTAGTAAGATAATAGTTTTTTTGATAAAAAAATGAGATATTAACAATTTTGAATGAAATTTTATATATTTAAATTTATTAATAAAGAATAAATAAATAAAAACTTAAGCTTCGCTTTGAGCAAATTCTCAATTCATATCTAAAATATAATCTTTTAGTGGAAATAATTTCTTAAATATTATCAAAATTTTCCTCTAACTAGAAGGAAATTTATCTTCGAATCTATCTAAAAGAAAAAATCGTGATCTCATAACATAAACTAAGATTTGAATATTGATAACTCTTATTCGAACTATGTTGCGCTTCAGCTTATTGCATCAGTACTCGAAAGCCTAGATGCTCTTCTAAGATAATTTAATTTCAATTGCCATAGCTCTCTTATTAATTTTCTTCGTCTCTTGTCACTCTATCAGGACGAAATCCTAATACGTTGCACGCTCAGACAACCATTTAAATTAGCTTTAAATTTCTCTAGTCTAACAAAATATATAACAACCCAATAATATATTATCTATATTATAATATAAATATATATATATAATATAATAGCTAATAATACTGAGGTAAGATTATTTTTTATACCAAGTAGAATATCATAGTATATAATGATATACTTTATCTAATATAATTTCCCCCTTAAATTTATATTCTTTGTAAGAAAAAAAAAATGTTTTTTGTAATTTTCACGAATAAATAGCTAAATTATTTATGAAATCTTATTTTTACAAAATAAATAAAATAATTTGTATGTTCAAAAACTATTATTTCATTTTGTAAAACAAAAGGTTTTTGCCAACTGGCTAAGGAGACATAGCCCATCATCTCAATTAAAAAAATTAAAATCATAGATAAGAACAATATAGCTTATCAATCAGTTATAATGAAAATTATTTGATATGTCAAAATGGCTTTGATTTCTCTATTTAAAAAACGATAACAACCAGACAGTCGTTGTTTTGTCGTTGTTGGATCACAACCAGACACTCGTTGATTGTTTGATGCTGATCCTCGTATCATTATCGTCGATTACAATCTCTTGGCCACCATCGCCAATCTATGTCCCACTGACATTATAGCCTTGTGACCGTTGTCGTCTGGCTACACCGACATATATTGATTTCGTCAACGAGTGCTAACAATGTTAATACACGTAATTACTTATAAGATTGATGCATGACGTCAACATAAAAAATCTGACTTGTGATGTTAAAACTAAGTCAATGATCTCATAAAGAGAATTTGCAGTGATTTGGCAAAAAAATATCATAATAGCTATCAGCTAATGCTGATCATAGTGAATAAAATGTTCTTCGGTAGTAGTAGCTAAGCCAACCGCACTAGAACAGTGCCGGGTCTGTTTCGGGTTCGACCCGAACCCGACCCGTTGACCCGAATTGACACCCCTAAATAAAATGTTCTTCGGTAGTAGTAGCTAAGCCAACCGCACTATCACGCACTTTCCCCGGTAATCAAGCTGTAATTTAGCGTTCCAAATTTTCAAATTTGCTTTAAAGTACAACAAATATGATAATTTTACAGAAATTTTTTCATAAAGACAGATGTGACGCATGTCCTCCCATTTCAAAACCTAATTATCATACCCACAAAATATTTTTATTTATCTCTTTTTTTAAGTAATTAACATCATAAAAAATATTTGAGCAAATTTAAGTTTCATTTAGGACGTATTTCTTACTATTTTTTAAAGCAGTTTTTTAGTTACAAAATTACGAAGTGGATAGCTCAATCTCTCCCTCTCACACGATGAATTATTCTGTGCGGAGTCCGGACAAGAAGAACAGTCTGGATTGTTGTGTTTTGCGTATTTATTGAGTATTTATAAATACACAGTAAATACTTAGTAAATATGTAGCAAATCAGCAAATACTTAGTAAATTTTCATCAAATACTCAGTAAATATTCAACAAATACTCATAATTGAATATTTGCTGAGTATTTACTGTGTATTTGCAAAAAACATAGCAAATACTCAGTAAATACGAAGAAAATCCGAATAGTTCTTGTCGCCTGACTTCTCACATAATAATTTCTCCTCCCACACACACATACACACACCCAACACAGATAGTCTCTTTTCATTATTATTATTAGAAGAGAAAAAATTATAACATATATTAATATAATTTCCTATTCATCTATCAAACATTATTTATACTTTGACACTCTAACATTTGAATAAATGACAAAAACATTTTTTTTTACGTCAAATTCTTATTTTCTTACGGACTGGACGGCAAAATAATAAAATTTTAAGCTTACCTTTTTATTTTATTTTTTCTTTTTAAGTTACCTATATGTGTAATCATATTTTAGGCAATAAAATACTAAAATATAATAATGTATACATCTAGGAGGTTTAGTAATATGCTTGTCTTGATAATTAAGAGAATATATAAGATTGACTCAATGAATAAATAAAATTATACTAAACAAGCCTCATTCACTACATAAATATTTGATGAGAAATATAAAAATAATAAATATTATATATCTCATATTTAACTTAATCAATCCAATCTATAAAAATGCATTTAAATATTACTTTATTTTTTATTTTGAATTATGGTATTCCAATATAAGATATAGCGATCATATATTTTATTTATTATTGTTTATTTAATTAATTACACATTAACAATATTGTTCATCATAAGTATGACTGGATGTATGATGGATATAGGTCAAATTTTACAATAAAATGACTTTTTATTCAATAATTGAAGATACAATAAACCACCGTATTTTTATTAATTATATTACTATCTATTATAAAATATAAAATTATAAATTTAATTTAAATTTTTTTATTAATCCTATATATGCCTCGGCAACCTTATATATTAGTGGAAATCATCTCTATAATAATATCTTATGAGAGGGTAGTCATTTGTGTTTGGTTATGTGAGTGTATCAAACAATGAATGTGGTTAAATAAAGGTTAAGTGTATGCATTATATAATATTAAATTTTATTTATTTCACTTATATATGAGTTTGCGCTAGTTAGACCTGTCATATTTTTTTCCTGTTCGGTTTTATGTAAAAAGTTTGTGTTCTTATTACTTTGCTGGCGTGTTGTCTTTTTACATTCTATGCATAATTTAAATTTCGATCAAATTTTTACCTATAATTTAATATTTTTAAAGTTTTATTAATTGAATGGAGTTAATATATAATGTGACATTATTTCCTATATTAACTAGAATATAGTTGGTTAAATGTGATGCTACTTAATAATGAAATATAATTTAAAAGGATTGATGATTTGACTTTTTTTTCTTGCC